AAAAGCGTAAAATTAATAAAAAAAACATTTTATTAATTATTAGATAGATAAAAACTGATGACTGATGATTGATGATTGATCGATGACTGGACATCGCCTATAACGCATGAAGGTAGTTCGGAAGACACTATACTGTGGTAAGTTATAAATGTAGATAAAAATTATGCAACTTGTAATTATTCATGTTACAATATGAAAATAAGAATTTATTTATATCTTTGCAGAAAATATTGAATATATCCGTCGTGCGCAGACACTCGGCGACAGTGTACAAACGAATGCGGAGCTGATCTGTGCGGTTTGCGACAAGACTGACAAGCTGTCGAGGTGCTCGCGTTGCTAAGTCGTCTTCTACTGCACCAAGGAACACCAGAAACGCGACGGGAAACGCCACCGGGAGTTTTGCGCGACTCACCCCGTGGCCGTCGCGTCTACGGAGGAGTCGTTCTCTGCCACCTCTGCTACCTCCGCTACCTCTCTGTCGCTATCGTCCTCGCGAACGAGCGTTTTGACCCCAAGATCGGTGAGATCGAGATCCCGTCATAATTAATGAATTTTTTTATTGCAACAGGTTTTCACAACTCACACATATAAGAATCATATACATACCACATTGATTTTGCTCCATAACATCTTCATATGGATCCATTTTCAATCGTTTTATTTAACCTGGAATTCAAGTTATTTGTGTATATATTTGTATATTGTTATACGTATGCTCTTGCATGTTACAATGCCTAACTTTATGTAATCTAAGAAAATTAAAATATATAAGAAGAAAAAGAGGATTACTTTCAATTAAAAGAAAATAAACAAGAAATATCATTGAACATTTCTATACAATAAAAGCATTCTATTAAATTGATTTGCTGTAACAAGATCACAAAATGTAAAAATTGAAATTACAACAGATATGATATAAACTTAGGCATTCTAAAAGGCAAGAGAGCACGCATTGCACGTTTAACTTAATAGAATATTTTTTTATGCCAATTTTTATCTATCTAACAATTAATAAAGATCTCACCGATCTTGGGGTCGGAACGCTCGTTCGCGAGGACAGCGGCAGAGGTAGCAAAGGTAGCAGAGATGGCAGAGAACGGTTCCTCCGTAGACGCAACGGCCACGGGGTGAGTCGCGCAAAACCCGGTGGCGTTTCCTTGGTTCTCCTTGGTGCAGTAGAAGACGACTTAGCAACGCGAGCACCTCGACAGCTTGTCAGTCTTGTCGCAAACCGCGCAGATCAGCTCCGCACTCGTTTGTACACCGTCGCCGAGTGTCTGCGCACGACGGATATATTCAATATTTTCTGCAAATATATAAATAAATTCTTATTTTCATATTGTAACATGAATAATTACAAATTGCATAATTTTCATCTACATTTATAACTTACCACAGTATAGTGTCTTCCAAACTACCTTCATGCGTTATAGGCGATGTCCAGTCATCGATCAATCATCAGTCATCAATCATCAATCATCAGTCATCAGTTTTTAACTATCTAATAATTAATAAAATGTTTTTTTTATTAATTTTACGCTTTT